CCAAGCACGGTGGCTGGGGAATTCTGGGAGTTGAAGTCCACCCATCTTAAAGCAAGCTTGCCAATGAATTCTGGGAGTTGAAACCCACCCATCTTCAAGCTTACTGGCTGAGGAATTCTGGGAGCTGGAGTCCATCATATCAAAATTATCAGGGCTGGGCGATTCCACTCTAAGAGAGAAGTTCAGTGTGCTAACAGCATTGTCATCTTCCTCCGCAGGGTTTAAAGAAACTGCCTTCCTTTACGCCATCTCTTCGGCGGGGCTGACCCACGCCATGGCCAAAGCCTGCAGCGCCGGACGTATGGAGCGCTGTACTTGCGACGAGGCCCCCGACCTGGAGAATCGCGAGGCGTGGCAGTGGGGTGGATGTGGAGACAATCTCAAATACAGCAACAAGTTTGTTAAAGAGTTCCTTGGGAAGAAGTCCAACAAGGACCTGCGCGCTCGGGTGGATTTCCACAACAATTTGGTGGGAATGAAGGTAAGTGCTCACGATGGTTGTAGGCTGTAGTTGGGGAGAAGTAGAGACACCCCCCCCCCGAGGGACTGGAGAAGGCTGCTAGGTAAAGATTGTTGAGGGCCACCCAAAAATCTAGAAAAGAGATCCCCACACTTGGCCACTTTAAGACTTGTGGGCTTCAACTCCCAGAATTCATAGCTGGCTGGAGAATTCTGGGAGTTGAAGTCCACAAGACTTGAAGTTGCCAAGTTTGGAGACCTCCGATGGAGGCAAGGTTGGCCGAGCACCTTGCTTTCATGAAAAAGTAGGAGAAAGAAATATTGGAAGACATGGTCATGTTTGGCTTCTACAGCTAATCTTGGTCATTGGTTGATCAAAGATGTGCTTTTGGGTTGACTCTTGGGAAGTACCTGGTCAGATGTTCTTCAGGTACACCCATGACTACGGTCATTGAGTCTTCCTCCTCCTCCTCTCCTTTCCTTCTTCCTCTTCCTCTTCTCCCTCTCCTTCCTCCTCCTCCTTTTCCCCTTCCCCCTTCTCCCCTCCCTTCTCCTCTCTTCCCCCTCCCCAGCGTGCTTCCATCAAGCAAATTTAATGGGGAAGTCCAACTCACTTAAAGACTGTGTGACTCCCTTAACAACTGCAGTGATTTATTTAATGCCAGCGGCCAAAAAAAGGTCATAAAATCGGACGGATCTAAATGAATTGTGTGGGGAAAAAAATGGCCCTAAGTCCCTTTGTTAAAAAAAAGTGCCATTGTAACTTCAGACGGTCACTAAATGAATTATTGGTAAGTCAAAAATGACCTGTTTTTTTGCTTGGGGGTCCTGCATTCAACTCGGTGGATGAGTTGAAGCGCACCCAATTTGCAATTTCCTTCCCTGAAAGCTCAGCTCTTCTCGGGATTAAGGAATTTAGTAACGCTCCAGAGAGACGGAGTTAAAAATGTCAATTTTAATGAACCTCAGCAGAGCCCCAAGAGAGCCTTTTCTTCTTTTTAATTAAAGTTTTTCCTGAACTTCAAGTCTACCAGAAGATTTTAATGCCCTCGACTTTTCATTAAGGGGGTACCAAAAGAGAATGTGACCGAGAAGGGGGAACGGAGGAAAACAGAGGAATTACAGCAAGCAAAGGAAGAAAGGAAGAATTCAGAGAAGGCCCCAAAGTGCTTTTTTTCAAAAGGCAAGCGGACTTTTTTGAAGATGTTTCACTTCTCACCCAAGAAGGTTCTTCAGCTCTGACTGGATGGTGTGGAATGGAGGGATTTATATTCCTTGCAGACAAAGCTGGTCATTTGCGTCCTTTTAGAGGGTCCTTGAGGCCTCTTGGAGGTTTATCTGCGTCCTCAGGGTCACCTGAGTGGTGCAATTGAATGGGGATGCTTCTTGGAAGTGCTGAAACATCCTGCAGAAAGCACAGCTCCACAACACAATCCTGTCAACAGTTCCAAGATAGCTCCACACTCCTTTGCACTACTCGGGCGATCCTGAGGACACAGGAAACCTCCAGGTGGCCTCAAGGACTCTTTAAAAGGATGCAAATGACCAGCTTTGTCTGCAAGGAGTGTAAATCCTTCCATTCCCCGCCGTCCAGTCAGAGCTGAAGAAGCTCCTTGGGCGAGAGGTGAAATGTCTTCAAAGAAAAACCAGAAACTCTAGTTGCCCCTTGAAAAAGGCACTTTTGGGGCTACCATAACCTGAGAATCTCTAGGGGCTTCTAAAAGCAATCAGACAAGAGCAACAAAGGAGGCTAAAAAAACCAAGAACAGTGGCAGGAATTCTAATTTAATGTCTAGTTTAATGAAAAGAAAAACTAGGGGGGGTGGCATGATGGCAGTCTTCCAATATCTGAGAGGCTGCCCCAAAGAAGAAAGGGGTCAACTTATTTTCCAAAGTATCTGAAGGAGAACAAGAAGCAACGGATGGCAACTAACCAAGGAGAGAAGCAAGCTAGAACTAAGGAGAAGCTTCCTAAATGTGAACAATTAACCAGTGGAACAACCTGCCTCCAGAAGTTGTGGAAGCTCCAACACTGAAGATTTTCAAGAACAAGATCAAACAATCATTTGTTTGAAATATTATGGGGTTTCCTGCTTGACAGGGCACTGGACTAGAAAACCTTGAAGGTCCCTTCCAACGCTGTTATTCTATTATTCTGAATAAAATAGAAAACAACCACTGGGTTTTATATCACTCGTGTCTCATTCTTCCTGCTCTTTAATCCCTTCTTCTCCTGCCCTGAATGGCTCCTATGTAGAGGCAAAATTGCTTTTTAAAAATCCGATCCTTATAACAAAGCCAGCCCCTTCTTCCCCACTGCGAAATCCCTTAAAGCAAGCAAAAAGTTTTGCAGAAGTCCTGCTAACTAATTACCTCGCGTTGCATGCCAGATAAACTGGTCTTGGCACCGGGAATTGAAATCCATACTGTAAAGAGATGTGGGGTGGGGTGAGGGGATTTTAATCTGCTCACTGCCAGCTTGCCATCCGAGACCAAGAATGTTGCAAAAAATAAAATAAAAATAAAAATGGAGAAGGCAGGAAGGATCTGTCCAGACGTTTCTTGCAGCATTTGGCGAAACGTTGGCCTTCAGGGAAGTTGTATTATCCAAAGGGGGTTTTTACACCGCAGAAATTCAGAAGCAAACCTCATTACTCATTATTTGTCCAAAGTTACAACGGTTTTGAAAAAAAAAAAGGGACTCATGGACAGCGTTTCACACTTATGACCGTTGCAGCCATCCCCGTGGTCACGTGATCAAAATTTGGACGTTTGGGACAACTGACTCGTATTTACGACAGTCACGGTGTCCGGGGTGTGTGTGGTTTCACACGATCCCCTTTTGCAACCAAGCAAAGTCAATGGGGAGCCCAGATTCGCTTAACGACCATGTGAGTAAATTAACAACTGCAATGATTCACTTAGTAACCGTGGCAAGAAAGGTCATAAAACAGGGGGGAAAGTTCACTTAACAACCGTCACTCTTAGCCAAAGGAATTTGGGGCACCTCAATTGATAAAAGTGCCAAATTTGCTCACCCCGATCTAGTCCAATGCCAACTCAGGGTCAAAATCCACACACGCATCTAAGCCTCCCGGAGTCACCAATGTGTAAATGGGGTAGCGATATACAAGTGTTTAATAAATGAATTAAAAGGAAGTTTTGGAAAAGGAAAGCCAGGGAATTGAGCATGGACTTCCAATTTTTGGAGAGAGTAGAGAATAGAAATTACCAACAGAAGCAGTGGTGGGATTCAATTTTTTTTACTGCCGGTTCTGTGGGCGTGGCTTGGTGGGCGTGGCAGGGGAAGGATACTGTAAAATCTCCAATCAGAGGCAGGATTTGCCAGTTCTCCAAACTACTCAAAATTTCCGCTACCGGTTCTCCAGGGATTGGTTGGCTGATAACCTGGATCACAGCAGGTAGTCCTCAAGTTATGACTGGACTTTTGCTAGTGATTTTTTCAAAGATATAATAGACATCGCCCTTCCCCACCAAAAGACACCCAGATTTGAAGTGATGCTGTGGGCCCTTCCCGGTTACATGATCGCATTTGGGAGAGATTGGCAACCAGTCTTCTTTCCTTCCTTCCTTCTTTCCCTCCCTCCCACACTCCTTCCTTCCTTCCTTCCTTCCTTTTTGGTTATTAAAAATGGTTGCTTATTACAGATTTTTTTTCTTTCTTTCTTTCTTTCTTTCTTTCTTTCTTTCTT